AGAAGCAATCTCAGAACGAATAGTTTGAGCAATTGCTTTACCGTCAATGATGGTAGCCTTGTGATCTGATGGCGATGCCATTGTTTCTTCAAACGAGAAATAACTTCCCTATAATTTCAGGACTGCTGGTTTCATAAAAGAAAAGATAAGTTAAACCAAAAGGTTGGACTAGGGTAAGAGTAGGCATGTTCAAAGTCAACATTCTACTACATAAATCAGCACCAATCCAAAACATATTAAGAAGCTATCGATTTACTTCAGCTATAGTGATATTTCAAAGTGTATTGTGATTAGTGGTGCCTAACAAGAGTGTGGCGTTCACAAGGCTAATATATGTCTGACTAAAGTGTATTTGTGGACTGATGAGTACAATTCTTTCCCTACTTCAGAGGAACAAGTGCACTACTTTTCCTAAAGTTCCATTAGGAAGAAAAAATCATTTAGAGATGGGGCTTTTAAAGGAGTGGAAAAACTAATGGATTTGATTGAGTGTTTGTTTGCAAACTTAATGATTGAATAAGAGGTCTTTTCAATTTTGACGCCTAACTAAAGATAATTAGGTTCTGTTTTGATTTGGACATGAATATAATCTTGTTCAGCCAAAGTTAAAACTGAAACTTTCATTACCTCAGTCATAGTTATAGTTCGTAGAGAGGCAAGGTGCAGAAAGAACAACTTAGTATGACAGGCACAATTTTCAGAAAAGCAAAACTTTGCACCATAGTGCTCTATAACTGTAGGTTGAATTAGAAAATTCAACAATTAAGGTCCATTTTCAAGTCCAAAAGTGTTTAGATAACAATGCTGGTAGTTGATTATGCTACAGAAGCCAATGAGGTTTTTATAGTAAACTTAAAGGTCCTCAATCGGGAGAAAAAAACTTTTGTAGCCTCCCTATTTGAATTTTTCATATAAAGTAATTGGAGATATCCCCAATTCAATTTGACTTCCTCTAGTATTGATAGCCGGAAATATCTCAAAGCTTTTCTCAATTGTTTAGACAGATTTCAAGGATATAAATACTTAAAGTTTAGCACCTTCAACCAGTAAAAAATCAACTACGCCTCAATCCCAAACTAGTTGGGATCAGCTAACAATATGACCCTCTATATCCATTTTGATTCTCTCGTTCCAACACTTGTAAATAATTAATGTTATAATCACATTATATAATGCTGAGCAAACAAACATATAATTCAAGAAAGAAAAGTCAATCAAACCCACTTAATTTCAGATAAAAATCCAGCAAATAATTCAGCTCAGCATATGCAATTTCATTCTAAATCTCAGTACATACAATTTTAATTGGGTAGCAGATTGTCAATTCCACAATACCATTTAATACATGTATATACCCCAACAGAGTGGAATAGTTCAATTGGTTAGCAACAATAGAGTCAGTTAGGATACTCACTCCTCCATTAACAGTCAGATTTCGGACGTCTATGCAATTTAATCTAACAAAAATAGGGGTGAAATTATGAGATCTTTAACCACCAAAGAAACAGTAAGGGATTTGATACTTACAGTAAAGAAAATCTTGAAATTGTAAGAGAGAAATTGGGTCGTCGGATTTTGAAAATTTGCACCCTATTTAGATAAAATCTTTCATTTGCAGGAAGAGACAATATGGAGCTCACAATTATTGGGGTAGGTCATAATTGAGTCGAAGAGGACCCAAGTGAGACCGTACAAGGGTGAAAAATACTGTTCCTAAATGTGGATAAAAGATATTTTTGGGGGTACCCCAATGTGGAAAAAAATGAAATCTTGAGAATTATCAAAAGGCGAGACCAAAAAAAAAAAAAAAGTTTAACGTTATAACTAATTCCACTAAATATGAATATTGATGTTTTGTTTGATTTCTTTGACCCAGATTTAGATGCTCAAGTCGAATTTGGAGCATTCCAAAAACTTGGAGATCCAACTACAAAAAGACAGGCACCCTGATACAAGATTGCCTATTTTGTTGGAAAATTCAGGTTATAACACTAAATTAAGTTTCCTAATTGTGAAACGTTTAATTAGTCGAATGTCTCCCCCGTCGTCGTCCAATGAGAATGGATAAGAGGCTCGTGGAATTGACGTGAGGGGGCAGGGATGGCTATATTTCTGGGAGCGAACTCACTTATTAATTCAATCACCAATTGATATTTACTAAGTATGTTTTATCGATCACGACTATTGCAAAGAAACGTAATAATTTACGCAGTATTTTAATGGAAAAATTTCACATAAGAATAATTGGGCTCCCTACTTTTTAATTTTATAATATTTAAATTTACAACCAACTAGCCCAAAAATAATAGGCTAATACTCAACATTCAACTCCAATAGGTTCTCGAAATTACTATTTAATTTTTAAAAATATTGCTAAGCTTTTAAGTAAATTTTCGAATCAGTAACTGTAACTCAAATATTAGTTCAACAAATCAAATCCATTTGGGTGGTGAAAATTAGATGTGGGTTTAAATTCCGAATATGATTTTATGAGAAATTTGGAGTGGGTGTTATTTAGACTTGTTAGAAAGAGTATAAGGAGGTTGTATATAAAATTTGAAGACATTTAATGGAGATTTGGACTGGTTTTGAACAAGAATTGTAACTGAAAATCGTGAAAGAAGTTCTTCTACAGACGCTTGTGTAAAGGTGTATAAAAGTGTATAATAGTATATAAGATGTGTTTATACACTCATATACACATTATACAAGATTATACATAATTATACAAAAAGTTGACTACGTCTTCTTCCTTGCGTCTTTTCTGAAATTTAACTCAAATCTTGCTCAAACCTACTTCAAATCACTTCAAATTTATTTTTTGAACTCCTTTGGATGATTTCAATCAATTAGAACAACCACTCAATTCAAACAACTAACAAACTCAAAAAATCCTATTTTCCAAAGCAAAGCTTTGAATGGCGCCTTCAATGATAGACTTCTAGTCTTCAATTTTCTTACAGCAAACAAGGGGAGAAGCAGAAAATACACAAGCCTTTGAAGCACATGTAGAAGATGTGAGAAGAAGAGCGAGTGAAAGCAATGGTTGTGAGAACGCATATTTAACTCCATACCTTTTAGAAGCAATGGTTGTAAGAACGCAGATTTTGAATTTGCTAGTGCTTTCAAGATATATACAATATGGGTTAGGTCGGGTAAAACTTAAAAATACGGGTCATTTATTATGGTGTGAAGTCATGTATATTTTCTTGTAATTCTTTCTATTTTAATTTCGTTGCTTTTGATGAGTTAGTAATTGATATAAAAGTAAAATTTTAGTTATAAAGTCGTTTTCCATGATAATTTTGTATTCCTAGAAAATACTTTATAAACAAAATACTTTTAAATATTTGGTTGGCGGTTGAAAATAATATATAAAAAAAAAATATTAATAATAATATAATAGTAAAGTAGAGAGCATTAAAATGAAACTTTTGAGTAGTCGAGATTAACAATATGTTCAAAGTTAAATATTGTAAAGAATCTGCCAATAAGTAAAGAAAGTCATTTTTCTAATTTTTATCGAAAATGACTTCCGTACAAAAAATGACCTTTCATAAATAAAAACAAATTAATAACTTCCTTCGTCCCAACACAACCTCGGCTAAAAGTCATTTACCTTAAGTTAAATTAAACATTAAAGATTCAAAACTTAAAGAGCTTTAAATCGGATCTTGAAGGAACTAAGGCACATGGGTCATGAGCTAATAATTGGTTGTGCATTGAGAATATGTGTCCTTTTAATTACGAGTTCAATTGAACCCGTAACTTTCGATACAGAATATGAATTTATATGTAAAAACCTTATTAAAATCTCAATAAGTATTAGACTTTGAACCTATAAGTTTAACAGTACAATGAGTTTAAGGCTATAAATCTTAAAAGCTAAATCCATTAAATTTAAATCATGGATGTGCCTCTGGTTGAGAATCCAATAATGCAACAGGATTATGTATATCAGTACTTAAAATGTATTTAGTACTTAAAATGAATATCTGTTTTGTTCATATAAGTTACACAGGATTATGCAATATCTATCAAGTTGCCTTTTGTCTCCTGGATTTGTAAACCAAGGAGGAAAACAAATCCTTTTAGATTCATGTCCGCTCCTTCATTTTTCTTAATTTTAAAATGATTCCATAAATCAAAGAGATTGCATAAATGGATGAACTGTTATATAATATAATGCAAATGCTGATTTCAAAATCATATAAATCATGCCGTTTGGTTTTCTTATATAAAATCAAATCTTACTGGATCAGACCCGTATACATACGCAAATAAATATTTACTCCTGCCTCTCTTGTAGGGGGTGGCACATCTTCAATTAATGCATCATTTGATTACTATTTAAAAATGGTTAAGCTTTTCTCCTCTTTATCTTGTCCAATAATCTCTAGTAATGATTAAATTTACTTAAGTTTCTAATGCAGCTATATTTGAATTCTTTTCTTGGACACAAAACTTTTTGGCATATAGTTTAGGTTTTGATTATGTAATATTTAGGTTTAGAAGCAACAAAAACTACCCAGTATAATCCCACCAAGTGGGGTCTGTAGAGGTAGGACGTACGCAGCCTTACCCCTACCCTGGAAGAATAGGGAGACTGTTTCCGGATGACCCTCGGCTAAAGAAGGTGAAGGAAGCCCTGATAGCTAGGTTTAGAAGCATAAAAGCAAAATTATTGGAAATGGTTTTTCTTTTTTTCTTGTTTGTTTTTTTTTTTTTTTTTGGGGGGGGGGGGGGTTGTTAACTTATTACAAAAGTGATTTGGTAACAAAAGTACTACTGCATTAAACAAAACTCAACTCTTAATCCCAATACAAACTACATATATTATATAAAAGCTACAGCCAGAGCAGCAGCACATGGCCAGCAAGAAAATAGTTTTAAAATGTGAAATAGAAGTAATTGGTGCTACTATTTTGCTAGTTGAAATTCAACATCAACAAATATATCTAAAGAAATCCATTTCCATGGGATAAGAATAACTCCAGACATGATTCTAAAGATAAATCAGTGTTGATCAGGCATGTCAAAAGCAGCATTGTGAAAGTTTACAAACAGAATGGAAGATAGACAAGCGGATCCAAGATTTAAACTTGACAGGTTCGACCTTTAAGGGAACTCGTTATACTTTTTCAACACTTAATAAACCAATAAATTTAGACAAGAGTTCACAAGGCTCATGCATTACAAGCCAGAGAATTGAAGACACAGGTTCTAAAAACAGGTGGCCCCAATTCCTTTTGGCATCTGCAACAGGATATGCATTCTATCCAAACAAACAGAATAATACATGGTCAAACTTACCCCTGAATGAATAGCTTCAGAAAGTTAAAAGGCTATCTAGCTATCCATTTGCAATATAGCATTTTCAAACTAGCTTTAGTATCTTAAAAGATTGAGAAAGGATCTTCTACTACATAAACTTTGTTACATATAACCTTAATTTGGTGGCAGAAATATGATACAATATATACCTACCTTGTAACAACTTATAGGCTCTTAAGTAGTTTCACACAATCGCATTTTAAGTGACAAGTTTCAGAACACTTACAAAAATAAACAGCTCCATATCTTGAAGTGGAGATTTACCTCGTGCTTTTTCCCATACTTAGCTATAGAAGCAATATGGAGTGGAGTAGACATACTATGTATCCAGTTATTTTATGTGGCAACTACTGTTCCGCCAAGCACTAACAGGAAAAAGCAATAAGCATCCGAAAGGAGTAAACAATGGAGTAACATTAGCACCAGAGAGATTTTCAACAAAGTGTTTAAGTCCGCAATGAGATCACTCAATTTACAACAAGCAGGACTCACCTGTACATGCCACTAAACCAGGAGACATCAGAAATAAATTCTTATCAGAAGATTAGGGAAAATAGCCAAAGATAGTTGCATCATGCTGCCCAATGCTGTTAGCCTGTTACCAACAGCTATTTGATATTTCATATTCATCCGAACAATCTTGCTTTAAATGCGACTGCTGCCATCATGTCTTCACAGACAACAGCTTACCTCAATGAGAAATACAGAACTGAGGAAAGTCGAGCGCTTCTTATGCAACCACGGAGTAGAGCAGCTTTTTTAGAGAACCACATTGATCAGCATACTTAGACAATGTTGTTACCACTGACTCCGAGAACCACATTAATGCTCCCAAATTGACATTTCCTTCATTATTCATCACTAGTAGCCGACAGGGGTTAAATTAGATAGCAACATGGAGGCTGACAAGAGAAACACAGTGCTAACCACAACATAATTACACCTGTAGAAGTTCGTCTAAGTGAACAATTTCAGCACTGACACTATGCACCAAATCCTAATTCTTAAAAACACAACTGACTTTGACCTGAAGACAGTAATGGACTGGAAAGTGGATTCACAGTTTTATAAGGACCAGTACAAATGACTGTATATAGAGATACTAAAAACTGAAACACCACCTATCCAATAAAAGGTTCTAAATCAAAGACTTAAGTATAATTCCAAAGCCAGTCTCCAGATATATCTTTAAGACAAATTAACAGGAAATTGCAAATGACAAATCAACAGTTACCCTGAATATCAATCATCTCCCGTTGGAAACAAAGTAAGAACCTTCCTCCCATTAGCAGCTGTAGCTGATTCCAAATCCTCAACATAAGATGGCACCACAGGGCTACTACTATGCACTGATGTTCCCATTCTCTGAACCTGCTGATGCGACTGCCTCGACAAGAATGGAACCTCAAACTGCCCGTTTGGTGGCGACCCGAAATGCCTATACTGCTGCTGAAGCTGTGGAGGGTGTCCAACAACTGCAGCCATCTGATGATGATGATGCATTGCTGCCACCGGCACGAACGGCATATAATGGTCAGAATTACCCCTCCCTGGATGCAAAAAATGTGGAGGCACTGGTGAACTAGCAAACAGTTGATCTGTTGCTGTATCCACCATCCCTCCCCCGGATAAACCCGGTATACTTCCATTCCCATTGCCACTGCCACCATTAGAAAGTCCCTGCATACGTTTCAAATATAGCCTATACTTTTGCAAATGACTAGCCACATTCTCACGAGTTAAGCCATCTACACTCATCAACTGCATTATAGTCTTGGGGACAGCATTCTTGATCCCCAAATGAGCAACTGCATCCACAAACCTCTTGTGGAGCTGTGGGGTCCACACAAGCCTAGGCCTTTTTAAGGTACGGGCAGGTTCATCAACACCCCCTGAACCTGCAGTGCCACCCAACTCGGCCGAGTCAAACTCGGCCGATGAGTTAGGGTGAGATGAAGGTGTATGAACTCCTAGTGGTGGAGTAGTCTGCTGGTGTTGTTGGTGGTGAGTTTTGGGAAGTGGGCTATTGGGGTTTTGAATATCAAAAGCTAAGGCTAAATCAGGAGTGATGAGGGTTTGGGACAAAGGCATTAGCTCCTCAGGAGAAGGCAGTTCTTCTTCCCATTTAGCAAACCAATTAGAATCTTCTTCCCTCATTTCACTAGACCTTCAAGAATATTCTAAATTACAAGATTTTGGACCAATTGAATTGAACTGAAAAAATGAGTCTTTTTAACAGATGGTGTTGGAGATAGACAGTAGAAAAGTAGAAAAAGATCAGATTTTTCTGAGATGGGGTTGCAAATTTTCTGGGAAAGTTCTCTCCTTTTTTGGAAATTCAGATTAAAATAAGGTAGGACGAGGAGAAAGAATTTCTTCTTTAGAGAGTGGAATTGTGATAGACAGTATAAAACTTGAAAAGATTAGATTTTTCTGAGATGGGGTTGAAAATTTTTCTGGGGTCAATGATCTCTACTTCTTGGAAATTCAGATGGATGGACTAATTCTAACAAATGAACTGAAGACTAAGGTAGAAGAAGAAAAAAGGAGTGTATTTGAGAAATGGGATTGTGATAGAGAGAGCAAAGACTTGAAAGATTAGATTTTTTCTGAGATGGGATTTTGTCTTTTTTTTGCTGTCCTCACCCCTTATAGTAAAGCTTTGATATTTAGGTGTTGAAGGAAGAGGAGGAAGACAAATGGAGGTCTACTTTAATAGAGGCAGACAAATGAGTTTAGCTTTGTAAATTTGCAATAATGATGTGATTTTGGATGTGTTTGGGGGGAGGGAGGGGGGAGGGGGGGTTGGAAAGAAGGGGTTAGGATGGAGGGGTGTTCGAGGTGGATCTTGTTTTTTTTCTTTTCAGCTTTTTATTATGGATTCTGTTCCTCATGCTTTTCTCACGGTTTTTATGGAAATTTTGGGGTGAGAACTTGAGAAAGTATTGTGTGGATGTATGGGAGTATATGATTTTATTATTTGGGAATTTTGAGGGTCTTTGTGCTTATCACCAAAAATTTATAGTTTACCACAAATAATACAATCAAACATCTTCATAACAGCTTCGTTCCAGATATTTTTGAATGTTATAGTGAAATGTTGTTATTGAAAAAATATATATTATAACAGAATATAAAATTTGATTCCGGAAAAACTTGACTTTTATAGTAAAATATTTTTATATAAGGATGTTGTTATAAAGAGGTCTGACAGTATGGAAGAAAGTCTTACAAAATTTCCACCACTCCATTCCTCTAAAAAGAATTTTTTTTAAAAGGTTCTTATGCTATGGTTGGTTGCTAAAAAAGGGTCGAGAGTGAGGGTTATATGAAAGGTTTTTTTGTTTTGCATCGGTCCGATATCTGTTTTAGAGTCCGATTAATTCAGATTAGTGAAATAAAGTCTCACTTAGAGGTGAAAAGTTCTCTACTAAAGTCGATTTTATTTCCAAGACTTGATTTCGTATTTTAATAAAGAATAGAGATATATTTATCACTCTATCATAACCTTTAGTTGATAAGTGAGACTTTATTTCTACTTTCGTTGTCTTTTGGAAATTATCACATCTTTATTATATACTCTTTTTGGTATATCTTGGTTGTACCTCAATTATTTCAATAAGCAGAGTCAGTACAATTTATTAGCATCGGAAGAAGAATTTTATTTCTACTTAATGTTTGCATTATGTAATTTGACTTTAAGACTCATAAATTAAAAAGAAATACTCATTAATAACTATGATTAATTATAAAACGTTGATTTTTGTCCGTGGGATAAATACGCTGGCATCTCTTTCGTTTGTTAGACCTAACCCCACAAAATCCATAGCGCGTGTAAAGCACGACACATTATAAGTGGACTGTACTGATCAATCAGGTGGCTAATGAATGGTGCTTTCATAGTTCCTAAATCAAGGTCCCATAGATTCTCCTTTTTTCGGTAAGAGAAAAATGATTGTTAAAATAACAGAAAATAAAAAAGGATTGCTTTTTCTGTACTTCCTTATGGAGCAAAACGATACAGGGAGTCCGAAACTTAAAAGATAATTTTTTTGTACAAAAATTACTTTTTTAATATTTTAAAAAAAAAGTCACAAAAAGCGAAGTAGTTTTTTATTATTTTTTTAACCAAAACACATCGTTTAATGTAAGAGTTGGGCCCAGCCTTATTTAATAAAGGCAATTCGCAGTACAATACTGCGAATTGCCTTAATTAAATAAGGCTCTTCGTTTCATCTTCCCCGACATTTCACACAGCCTCCATTAAAAAACAAACTCGCTCCTTTCTGTCCTCCACCCCCCGTTTTATTTATAAAAAAAAAAATTCGGGCCCACCCGTCCCATAAAGAGCAAGGTGTGTAGGTCCCACATACACAAAAAGCTTTGGATACCGTGTTTCGAGTGCAAAAATTCAATTTCAACAATATTCAAAAAATTTACATCGAGGTATTTCAATTTAGTTTATGCCGAAACTCGTATAGTCATGCATATTAGTATTGTTTAGCATGTTTCCATGTGAATTTATGTTATGTTTGTGTTTAATTTTGTATCTTTTATATACCCGGATTGATTTATTTGATACCCGAATTTATGTTATGTTTGTGACCAAAAATGCTACCGGATTGTTTGTGTTATATTTGATTTATATACCCGAATTTATATTATGTTTGTGACCAAAAATGCTTAAAATTGATAAATAATTTGTATTCTTATATAATTTGTATTAAAATTTGATAAATAATTTATATTGTTAAATAATATTATTTATTTTGTTTATTTGTATTGTTAATGTTATGTTCATATTGTAGAGCCTTATAGCGTAGTAAAATATAGTATCTTTTAGCGAAGTAAAATATAGAGCCTTTTAGCGTAGTAAAATGTAGAGCCTTTTAGCGTAGTTCAATGTAGAGCATTCTAAAAATACTGAAATTCAGTAGCGCACAATAATTCTAAGAATTATTCGGTGGCACCGGGCGTCAAAAATCAAGCCTGGAACCCATACATAACTATTATCTCCAATTTCAAAAATCATACTTAATTTAATTTATTAAGTTAATAAAAATCTAAAAATGTTGAAATTGAGACTTATAATAATTAAGAATTATTCGGTGGCACCGGGCGTCAAAAATCAAGCCTGGAACCCATACATAACTATTATCTCCAATTTCAAAAATCATACTTAATTTAATTTATTAAGTTAATAAAAATCTAAAAATGTTGAAATTGAGACTTATAATAATTAAGAATTATTCGGTGGCACCGGGCGTCAAAAATCAAGCCTGGAACCCATACATAACTATTATCTCCAATTTCAAAAATCATACTTAATTTAATTTATTGTTAATAAAAATCTAAAAATGTTGAAATTGAGACTTATAATAATTAAGAATTATTCGGTGGCACCGGGCGTCAAAAATCAAGCCTGGAACTCATTAGAGATCAGATGGCGGTATTGCACCCAGATATTACCCACGAGACAGAGCATCTTTGGATTCAGCGGTACACTCGGTTGGCGTTGCTCCTGCTTTTTGGGTGTGTCTTGTTTCCGGACACCTCGGGGAACAAAGTGAGTATGCGTTTTCTTCATTTTCTTGAGCAGCTGGATGAGCTACCCCAGTACAGCTGGGGTGCTACTGTTCTGGCGTATCTCTATAGGAGCATGTGCCGCGCGAGCGTAGGTCCAGCGGTTGATATATGTGATTTTCTGCCCCTCCTTCAGGTGCAAAAAATTTCCGAATACACTGTTTGTTACCCCAAATTCTATATCGTGAAATGACTCATAAATTTACATCAACATTTTATCTTAGGTTTGGGCCTGGCAGCGGATCATGCCGTTGCAGCCACCTCTACCAGTACTTCCGCCCGGTCAGGATTATCCGTTTCTCCCTCTAGCTATCAGGTGGATTCTCCGGCTGGGAACTACCGAGGGACGGATGCTCACCATAATCTCCCCCTTCTTAGGGATGTGTTAGATATGTTGGTGGACGGACAGGTAAATATGTACCTATACTTGGTTGTTTTAAATTAAGTTGGGTTTTGCGTACTCATTTTTATGTTACTATTGGTAGTTCATCTGGACGCCATACAGCATCGAGTTGCTTGGTCACCTACCCGCTTGTTGCTCAGTCGACCGGTTGATTTGGAGCACCTCCGTCCCGTTGATCTTCTGGGATTTTGTTGAGTATCATGCCACGGAGTGTGTGCTTCGACAGTTTGGCCGTCCTCAGGCTATACCGAGGGATCCTGCATGGGAGCCGACTCACTATCAGCGGGACGACCGTTCGAACATGGACCGACAGTATGTTGGGTGGCTACAGCAGCAGATAGATTATTGGGAGGACCGAGCTGAGCGCATCCCGCTACCACTTTCAGTTTTCGAAGAGGCCTCTATTCAGCTGTATGATGGGTGGTACCGCCGCCATACCCGATTGATGATCGGGAACCCCGTGCATGTACTTGGCGAGCGCTACAGACCGTACGCCGGGAGGAATGAGGCACTGGTATGTTTTTGTGACTTATTAATATCTTATAATTGTTACATAGAGTTATTTAATTACTATTTGAAATGTTTCACAGGCTATTGGGCTTCATCGCATCTACCAGTCGGGACAGGACATGCAGCAGCGTTCGAACATCCCTGAAGTGGTTGAGTATGCCCGGGAGATGGCCCAGATGGCTCGTCTGACACTGTTGCAGGCGAGAGATGCCGAGAGGTTAGACCATGAGCCTCAGTATGTGGCTCCAGGGGCCTACCAGAGGGGTAGGCCAGTCCCACGAGCCAGGGGTAGGGCACCAGCGAGGGGACCCCCACCAGGCAGGGCTGCCCCACGGGGTCGCAGGGGACGGCGAGGAGGTGGCCAGCAAGGGGGCGTTGAGGTACCTGTCGACCCACCTGCCGATGCACATGACGAGGAGTTCGGAGTTCGGGGCTTTGGAGATGACCAGCAGGGTTATATCCCTCATGCAGATGAGCCTTCCAGCAGCATGCCTTCATATAACCTTCAGCTATCTTTGCCAGCATCGCAGGTCACCCCGTCAGGAGCATTGTCGATCATGGGTACATTCGACGGGGATGTAGATCAGTACTTCGCATGCCCATCTACCGCAGCTGAGGATCGGTCGGCCCGGGACGTGGATGGCGGGTGCAGGTTGAGTTATCCGTCGTCCCCGGCAGTTCATGCGATATGTTTGTATGACTTTAATATTTCAATTTGTTTTCTTTTCCTTAAATCGCTGCCATTAATTAATTGTAACTTTCTTATGCAGTCTTCGTCTCAGCCCATCTTTGAGGACACTACATGCGGTGATGAGCACACCATCGATACATATACCTAGGAGGCCGACGAGACCATGGTGAGAAAATATTTTCTTACTTAAAATAATAGTACATTCTGTAGGTTAAGATAATAATACATTTTCATAAAATAATACATTCATACATGCTAAGATTACTTCTTGTTTTGTAGGTTACTCACGGCCCGACGGCCTATTCTTCCGACCCTGCCAGTTGTGGTGTTGATGCTGCTGCACATCCTCACATAAAGAGGCGGCTTGATGATGATGATCCAGATAGTGTGCCCGGGCGACAGGGGATGCGACTTAGGCCAGCAGCAGCACTGAAGCACACAGGCTGCGGCACTCACTGATTTGCTTATGTATTAACTTTGTGTAAATAGTGCTTTATGTAAATAATAGTAACAATTATCTTTTAAAAACAATTTTATTTTAATTGCGTTTGAACAACAATTTTAC